GTGATCGGTTTGACAGCAAGAGGATACTGAGAGCCTTCATCTTCAGCGAGCTGAAGAAGCGTTCTTACAGCTAGGAACGGTGCTGACTTAGTTCCATACGTGACTGTGGTAAGCTGAAAATGAGATTCAACCTGCTGTTCATTTACCCACACGATGCGTTGAAGATCCTGGTCATCTGGGTGTATCTTGATCTGCCGGTACATTTTGGTGATGTCAGTCGCAAAGAGATACTTGAGTTGACATATCCAGATGAGCAAGTCGAAGATGTTGAGCATCAGATTAGGACCAGCGTGCATGATGTCGTTGAGCGAGTGACCAGTGGAGCTGGCACTTGAACCGTTGAAAACAACCCTGAGCTTTGTGGTGGAGCTGTCTGGCTTAAGTACCCCATGATGAGGCAGATAGTAATGTGGCCTTCTACTAACTGAGCTGTCATTGAGCTTGAGCATGTGCTGAGCTTGTTCATACTCTCGCATGAACTGAGTGTACAATCGGTCGTACTGAGTGTCTCTGCCAAGTCGCCTGAGAATTCGTTGGAGCGATCGATGAGCTGTCTGATAAGAATCTCCCAGGACTGTTGGGGGTGATTTGAGCGGCATCCTGACGATGTAGCGCCCTGTTGAGTCCCTTGAATGAGTGGTCTTGAAGTGGAGCTCACACTCCTGCTCCTCAGAAGTGAGCGATGAGTTGTCTGATGATGAAGGTTCTTCTTAGACCCAAAACCGTGTCAACAACTCTTGCAAGGATGAGTTTGATGCCTGAGAGCTGCCATGATGAGTTGTTCTTGCAAGCGTGACCGGTGCCTGAATTGGGCCTATTACCAACTACCAAAAGATTGACAATTGAGCAATGGGAGTTCTTTCTAAGTGCCTAATGATATTAGGCCTGATGAGTTGGCCGTAGAAGTCTGCTCCAACTATAACCTTTACTGCCCTTGGAACGAGAAACTCTGGATCAGCGAGATTTAAACCCTTCAGGTGTGGCTAGTCGGGTTCCTGTTGAGTCTTTATGGCCAGCAGGATGGTGGTAACTGTCTTTAACACGTGAGCTGAAATTGTCACTGTGAGTCGTTTATACCTTGATTGAAGGTTGAGCGTGACAATTCCTCTTGTTTGAGAAGTCTGTTTTCCACCGACACCATAAACGTCCAGCCTTGAGTGCCTTCGTTGTAACTTGAGCTGCTGGGTGAGCTTTTCTGAGATGAATGAGATTTCTGATCCAGGGTCGATGAGCAGACGAACTTGAGTTGATGCAGCTGCTGAGACGACTATCGCTGTCGCTGTGGCCAGCAATGTGAGATGACTGAGATGGGCAGAGTTAGATACAAGATGATCGCAACTCTCAACGAGCTGCCCTGAGCTTCATGCTTGAGTGGTCTTGGTTGAGGGAGCGGGCGTGTCTGACACCTCTTGAGCGGTCTGAGCCTCATCTCCTGGTGGTTCGAAGATGATTGAGAGGTCGGCACCATGCAACATGGTGTGACTATAATTGTTGCATGTTTTGCAATGCCGTCGGCTGTTGCACCTCCTTAGATTATGCCTGCCTAGGAAATTGCAACACAAACTTCTGTCCCTGATCAACCTTACCCGTTGGTTGACCGAGTAGCCTCGCATTTTTGGGCAGATCGCGATGTAGTGATCTTGCCCACAACAGTCACACGGGTATGTCGTTCGTGACTGAGCTGGACGAGAAGTCTGATGAGTGACCGACCTTGATGAGCTGGCTGGGGGCTGTTGAGATGCCTGATGTGAGCTTGTCCGAGTAGTCGTAGCCCCTTTCGACACATTGGGTTGAGCAGGCGTGGACGAGGCTTCCATTGTTTCCAATGTGCGAGCACGAGCCACCAGAAATTCCGTGAGCTGGCTGAGAGTTGGAAATTCATCGGTAGAGGCAAGAGATGTCTCCCATCTCTCACGAGTGTCACGATCGAGTAGGCCAGTGAGAACGGTTACCATGAGGCAATCATTGTTGCTCTCCACCGTGAGCGTTCTGAGTGCCTGAGTAGTCTTGTTAACACATTGTACGCCGGTGGCATCTGAGCCATTCAAAGTCTGAGCGCCAGCACCGTGTCAATCGCCTAAAGCGTGGGCGCCAGCATGATTCGCTTGTTGACGACCAATGAATAGGTGAAGAAAATATTTAAAATTTTATACATTATTGTAAAACACTAAATTTGGTTTGCATATTCGTTATATGCAATTTAACGATAACGAAAAAAAGAAGCAAAATAAACAAATTTAATTTATATTTTAAAAAAAATACACCTGTTTTATTTGATGATTGATTATTACATATATATATAATATAAACACAAAGAAAAATATTAGTATTTAAGGGATGTATGGTATTGTTCAAAACATTTTCCAAGATGTAAAGGTACTTGGCA